AATAGAAGGGGAAATAATATAAGGTGAGCGGCATCGATTGATGATTGCTATTATAAAGAACAGGAAGTTCCTGTTCATGTATAAATGTGATTACATATAAGTTTTGTGTGTGTGTATTTTACATGTTTGTTAATAAAAATATTTTTTTTAAAAAAGAAAATGAAGATACAGACTATCAACTTCCAAGTAATTGCTTGAATTGGAAATAATTCTAAACATTCAAGAATGCTGTGATCCTTCTTCTCTACAGGCATTGGAATGGACTCCTGTGTGATTCCTTTGAGGCATGGGGGTCTATCCCTGGTGCAGACTACAGACTTTTTTTACCCACTAGTAGAAGACCCTTATATGATGGTGAGTTGGCATGCTAGTGAGAAGGTGGAGGAAGGATTGGTCAATTTAGGAAGGATTGAGCTGTGTCGTTGAAATTAGGTTTCCTGCTCAGTTGATTATATAATAGTTGCCTTGCCCTTCCTGCTTGGTTCTAGTTATTTCATTATTCTGATTTAGGGCCGCATTGCTTGTGCTAATGTGCTGAGTGACCTTTATGCCATGGGCATCACAGAATGTGACAACATGCTTATGCTGCTGAGTGTGAGCCAGAAAATGACCGAAGAGGTAAGAAACATTTTATTTCTTAAAATAATTTGAAGATGTTTTTTTTTTTAATATGCTGGCTGGGTTCAATGCAACAACTCAAGTTATAATATGGTTCAGTGATTTTTGTCTTAAAATGTGCAAACCAGAAGTCTAGCCCCTTAAATGAATAAAGGAAACATTGAGTGTTAGCCTAGCCCCAATTTATTGTTTCTAGGGTTAGGGTAGCACTGAGTTATGTTCCTACACGTTGGATTTTTTTGAATCAAAAGATGGAATTAAACAGTTTTTAAAAATTATTAATTACTTTCATCATTCACAATTCAGAAATGTCATGTTTAATTTAATAATTAGGCAAAGTCTGTAATTACAAGTACTTTTGTTTCACAATACACTAAGTCATCATTTGTTTAAATAAGGTTCACTGAATAGACAATAATTTTATTCACCTACAGTAGATAATTAACCAAAACTGCTAGTTTTTTTTATTTACTATGACCTCTGTACTGGTCAGTTCCCACAAGTTTTTAACAGTTTACATACCAACATAAGTTACAAATGGTACAAGGAAATTTCCCATGATAATTTCAGTACAGAAGATTCCATGTTCAATCTTTGCACCCCATTTAATTGGATCCAGTAGGAAATGATCCTTAATTGATGGTTACAAATGGTTCTTAAGTCCTTTTTTTCCTTTGTCTCCTAGGAACGAGAAAAAATCATGCCTCTGATAATCAAGGGTTTCCGGGATGCAGCAGAGGATGGTGGCACTTCAGTAACTGGTGGACAGACTGTCTTGAATCCTTGGATCATTGTTGGCGGAGTTGCAACAGTTGTTTGCCAGCCCAATGAATTTATTATGTGAGTATTGGAACTCTTATTAGCAAGTGGGAAGTTGAAAAAGTAGTGTACAGCATTTCAGTTATGTGTGTAAATGAGGCCAACATGTTGCATAGTCTATAATTGCTATGAGAATTCTTATCCTGAAGGCTCTGGAAGGCAAAAAACGACCCTATGAGCAAACCAGAAGTCACTTCCGGTTTGTCCATAGAGCCGTTTTTAGTCCTCCGGAGCCTTCAGGGAAGCCTCCTGAAGGTCCCTGAAGGCTCTGGAGGACTAAAAACGGCCCCTCTGGACAAACCGGAAGTGACTTCTGGTTTGCTCATAGGGTCGTTTTTTGCCTTCCAGAGCCTTCAGGGGAGCCTCTAGAAGGCCCCTGAAGGCTCTGGAGGACTAAAAATGGCCCTACAAGCAAACCATAAATCTGTTCCCAAACTTCCGGTTTGCCCGTAGGGCTGGGTTTTTTGCGCTCCGGAGGCTTCTGAAGCCTCCAGGGAGCCTCTGGGGAGGCGGAGGAAGCTGTTTTCACCCTCCCCAGGCTCCTATAAAGCCTCTGGAGCCTGGGGGGAGCAAAAATGGCCTTAAAAAAGGCTGGAATCAGCTGGCTAGTGCACACATGCCCTGACAAATGGCTCCACGT